TGGTCAGTGTTGGGACCTAGGGAGCTGGTCAGTGCTGGGATTACCTGGTCAGTGTTGTGACCTAGAGCTGGTCAGTGATGGGATTAGCTGGTCAGTGTTGTGATCTTGAACTGGTCAGCGCAGGGATTAGATGGTCAGTGTTGTGATCTAGAGATGGTCAGCACTGGGATTAGCTGGTCAGTGTTGTGACCTAGAGCTGGTCAGTGCTGGGATTAGCTGGGCAGTGCAGGGATTAGCTGGTTAATTTAAAACAGCTGGTTGAGTGTTAAAGCCCTTTGGCATGGCCAATACATACACTATACTTTAATAATTCATTATTAACCAGATCAAGGATTAAAACAGAATGAAGGAAATATCAAAGTCTAATTAATAAAAGTATGAATCCAATTACACGGTCACCTTGTCTAGGATTGAAAAGCCCCGAATAAACGCAATACAATGTGTTCAACACATGATTTTCGCAACACCGAATTCTGAATTAAAAAGGGTTCATTTCTGAGCATTTCAACGTGCGATTCGATAGGGCCGTTGAAATTCTGTTGCTAATTTTATTACTAATATTACTTAACAACAGGTGAAAAACAATATCTACAAATCCATAAACTGATTCGTGAATAGATTAAGAACTAAATCCTGTATGATTAACAGTGGAAACGGAGTTAAAAGGTTTGCAGTTTCCCCACAATTAAGTAACCCGAATGAAATTGAAAGTTTTGTTCTCGCTTTTTTATCATTTCTTGTGCGCGAACCGGTCAAGAAAATGTTTGTTTTTTGTGTCACAGCAGTCATTAATGTTGGTTTTTGAACATCACTCATGTCCCTAAAGAATCAACCAACGAAACGAAAAATTAATGTGCTGTTTTCAGATAAATTCCCAGCGGAGCATCTTGCTTTCGCTCAATTCGTTCTAAAAAAGACTGAATTTTTAATACGTCGTGGGGGGAAAAGAGGAGTAGATTTGTGTTGATGCTAATCACGCCGGAAAAAAAATAAACTTTGCATTTTAAATCAACAGGACCGTAGTCGGGCGTTTGATCCACGGAATAAAATAATATTTTCAGATTAAAACATAACCGCGGCGTATCTGTTATATATCTGTTCGACCGGACACCCGAACCCAGAACGCTGGCTCTGGCGTTGTGAATGAAAAGGAGAAATAACCTTTTTTTTTCTCTCTCTCTCTCTCAGAGACCGTCGAGATAGTTTCCCTAATTTAGCCCCAACCCCGCCCCGCACAGCCAGCCCGTCCGGCCCGTCCGGCCGCGGCTCCGACCCGGCGCCCCGAACCCGCTCCTGCCGAACCGCACGCGCCTGATCCGTCACTTCGCGCCCGGCGCCCGCGAGGCAGAAGAAATACCGCTAACAGAGGAGTCGTTTCTTCCGATATATAATCATATATATATATGTGTGTGTGTGTGTCACATGACATGCTCCTCTTTGGGCTTCGGAGAGCAGCGCTGCCAACAGGCGCTCCAAGGACTCGGCGCAGCGCGGAAGGAGAAGCAGACAGGGATGGTCCTACACAAAGCTCACCTTGCTTGGGGATTATTATTTTCGTCATGACATCGACTGCTTTTATTTTTTTAAAGAATTTTATATTCGGTTCGAGCTCGGGTGACGACGGCGGTGTTTTTCTTCTTGTTGTGTGTGTGTGGTTTCCCCCTTTAAGTCTCCCTTACATTAATAAAGAAAAAACGAATCCCACAGACTGGGATGAATAAAACGTACCTTGTGATCCCATATATATAATCCTTTTGATCGGGGTTTTCTTCCTGTTAGCCAAGAGAAAATAAAAAAAACAAAGGTCATTAGCCAATTTAGAACGCTGTAATTTTGAGAAACTTTAAAGCCCCTCAACAACAAAGACAGACCCGAGGCAGGAACTGTCAAACAGGATTAAAAGGATCGCGCGGCACCCTCTCCTGCAATAAAAATGCAAATAAAATAGGCAATACAGTACATCAAACAAAAACAAGCACACACAAAAACACCTTCGCATTTAAACTTTTGTTTTCTGCAAAAAAAACAAAAACAAAGGCCTGTTGGAGCCAGTCGGTACATGAAGCCACCAGGTTTTACTGAAACAATTCTTATCGAGCACAAGCTCCAGCAGCCCCAGCAGAGAAGTACCGAATCGCTCACCTACGAGACTGCAGCGCCGACACCGGAAGAGAGCTGTGTATTGTCTTTTCCACGCAAAATGTAACTGAACCCCCGACTCGGGTTTTAGCGTCGCGTTTTCAGGTCTGACTTGCGTCTTTGCATCCCCGCGGAAGCCGACTCGACTGGACCTGCAGGCTTAAAGACCCGGGTTATAGATCGTCCCGCAAGTAAACACTGACACGGTGTCTAGCTGGAGTTGTCCGCGGTGCTCTGAAACCAGACCCCCCCCCAGCCCACCTGGAGAATTCGATGTGGTTGTCCTTGAGCGAAATCATAACATCATAAAACGACCTAAAGATACACTATCAGTAGTCGCCACGCGTGAACACGGACGGCGATTCGGCTACGGGAAGCCACAAGACGCCGCAGGTCGCTCTCCAGCCCCCGCGATGAGGCTTCGACTTCTGTTTACTCCTGCGATCATGTTCGATTTGTTTATCTTTTTTTTTTTTAAAGTCCACCCTCCATGACAGCAAAAAATAAATATATATCTGTGTACACAGTCGGCAGGAAGTTCGTCACCGGGCTCTCCAGGATTGGTCAGAGCTGACGGAGCGGTGCGGCGCCGCTGCGCGCCGGACCTGTGGCTGGAGGGCTGCGGGAGAGCGCACCTCCTCCGCCCGCTCTCCCTGCACAGCCTGACCCGCTTTCCACCGGGCACTCCCTGCGGCGGGGGACAAGCGCATCCCGAGGTCTGCGGTGCGCTGGATAAAAAAAAAGAGTTTCTGTTCCTCCCATCTTGCTGCTATAAGAGATGACTGTGCACTATTTCTCAACGAGCTTCGGCCGTTTGGGGGGAGATAATCATTTCCACGTGCGGCAATAGCACTCATATTCCGGGGGAGTATTTCCTTAATTTCACTTTTTATTTTTCACAGTCAAGCGTTGTGATGGAAATGAATATTTTTCCCACGTGTTTGAAGCTCATCCATTACTCATTGGTCTAGTGTCTGACACTAACAGTGCTCATTGGTC